AAACCATTTCCTTGTGATCTTTGTGGACAAAGATTAAACCAAAAGGCATCTTTAAACACATACATAAGAGTCCACACACGAGACAAACCATTTCCTCGTGATGTTTGTGGACAAAGATTTACCCAAAAGGCACATTTAAACACACACATGAGAGTTCACACAGGTGACAAACCATTTCCTTATGATGTTTGTGGACAAAGATTTAGCGTAAAGTCATGTTTAAACAGACATGAGAGGTCACACAGGAGAGAAACCATTTCCTTGTGATCTGTGTGGACAAAGATTTAGCCATAAGTCATCTTTAAACACTGACATGAGAATCAACACAGAAGACAAACCATTTCCGTGTGATCTTTGTGGATAAAGATTTAGCCTGTAGCATTTTCCTCAGCAGGAAAACACCACGTGATTATAACCCACTAACTTTTCAAAGTTATTGTTTATAATCAGGGGGTTTATGTAGCATTTTCCTCCTTTAATTAACAATTTCTGAGTAGATATAACTGGTCTATGACTACGTAAAGGAAGAAATCAAATCCACTGTAACTTTAAACTTTCTTTTCAAGGATTTTCAATGGAACCTTCCTTTGTTCCTCGAATTAGCGTATCTTACACAAACTCAATAGACTTCCTGACGTTTTCTTCCAACCCCCCCCCCCCCCATGAAGAATGCCTGTTCTCTTCAAAGGAAAGGGGGAAGGGTCACAGACGCCTTTAACCAGACTCTTCCAGTGACTGAAACAAAGGAACCCACATTCTTCATTAAATAAAAAAAGGAGAAAAGATGAAGGAATCTGTGTATCTAATGTTTTCTGTCTTATTGCAAAGAACGTCATCTAATTCATTTTTCTTACAGCAAAGAACTAAAAAGACCATAAAGGATCTATTAAGTTTTGCTTAGTTAACTTTTCAATAGCTGTGTGTATTGTGGTGTTAATTGTTTTTATGAAGTGTTTTTCCTAAGAAGAAGATGTTTCTTTTATTTCATGATTTTAAACTGTGTTTTATTACGAGTTAACCCTTAGAAAACCTTAGGCTTTGAATTTTAACTAAATGTGACATTCTTATTTTACTAAGCTAAATAGACGTCTCACCCTTTAATTAGATGCAAGATAATTAAACTAAAACACTCCCTTTTCTTTGTCTTGAAGTAAAGTTTTCCCTCCAAAACATTTAATTTGTTAAAAAACTTTACTTGTACAAGGTGTAAAATTTTAATTGGCTAACTTAAAAACTTGACTCCGCCCATAACAGAGGTTTTAAAAGTTAGTGCAGACAAAGGTACATCCGTTACTAGTTGGTTTTCCCTTTAAAGCTAGAAACAGCTTTCACAGCTCGGCAGAGGCCCCCCTTTCAGCCCCTCCCATGGCTGACCAGGATGGGGGGGGGGGGTCATTCCACATCTTCCGCTGATTGATTTTGTAGGGAGTAGACTTATGGTGAAATAAGCCTTTCTACATACCTCTTATAACAAGATTATGAGGAATGTTTTACCAAGGTATTTTCTCATTACTTTAATATTTTGACTGTGCGAAGTGAGAAGTGACACAATAAGTGGACGTTCAGACGAGTTCAAGTTGATTCATAAAAGTCTATGCAATCATTTATTTACACAAATTGAACAGATCATAAGTACACTTGATTGTGGTGATTCCTATAACAAGCTTCAACGTTAAATGGGATAATACTCGCGTCCGAATTTTAATTCACATTAAACTCAGATTACTCATATATAGAACAGTAAACGTCAGTCCTGATGCTAACAACCAAACAATTTACTGGCACTCTTTAGCTTAAGTTTTGGCAAATAAAGACAAAGGAAAGGATGAAAAATAAGGTTAGTGTTTCTTCTTCTCTTATTTTCTTAAGTGTGGTCAACCGGATCAGCACATCCTCTCTGCGCTGAGATCTCCACAAGACACGTCACCCAGAACACGCTCAGCGTTACCTGGTGATGGCTTCTTAACCAAACCCTGGGTAGTCACTGGTTCACCTCCGATCAGTCAGGGAACGTTTTGTTCAGCCCACTCACTGTTCCTCGGCGAAAAGTGTTATTTTTAGGCAACTTTCGTCTGCTTCGATCTTCACCAGAAAGATTCAAGCTGATGCATCCGGTTTGTCCTTTCAAAATAAAATTCTCCCGTCGGGAGCTGAAAAACACTTAGAGGCTTGAGTCTCGGATGGACAGTCGGCGGCTTGCCCCTGCCCTGGCCGTTAGATCCCCCTAATTGGCTTATGGGCAAGATCAAAGGGCCGAGCTGGTTTCTCCAAAGAGAAAACTCAGCCTTCCTTCCCAGTTCGGCATCCAGGAAGAAGTGTTCCGTCTCTCAAAGACGTCCGTGTTAGTAATAGAAGCGGACAAACTTTGGTTCCGCTCTCAGGCGTTAAGAATGAGTCAGGAAAAGAAAGAAAGATAAAGCTTTGCCAGCCAGGCGCCAGGCAAGGTCAAATTCTGTGGTTGTTTTAACAGAATGATAATATTTCCTTTCAACTTTTCTTCTGGTAGACTCTAAGAGAAATCACTGTAAAACATTTATGATGATTAATTAACATTTCTGTTTAAATAATCAGTCTGAAACTTTTGTTAGTCCAGATAAATGAAAGATTTTCTCAAGAAAAACTAACAATCATATTACTGTGTTTCCAGTAAAATAAAAACAGTGATTTATATAAAAACACAATGAAAACATGGTAATGATTTTCTCTGTGATTTTTATACCATTAATTAATCTTTTAGGCACGATAAAAGAGTAGAAGTGATTGCACTTTCTTTGTTACAGTCATATGATTTAACAAATGCATAAACATTCTTAGTTAAACAATAAATGAATCACGAATAGAAAAGATTGTTCAGTCCATTATCTGATTAAGAGAACTGATAAATTCTCCTCTAGGTTGAAATGACCTGTCATGGCCTAAATAGAATTCAGAGTTCCGGCCTTCTCGTCAGGCCTGTCCGAGGCCTGCTTCGAGGCAGTAAATCTTGTTTCTTCACTCGAGGTGACCCCTACAATTCGAATAGCTCGTTCCACTGGCTCAGTCTGCGTTTGATTTTATAGAAGTCAAATAAGCTAATGGTAATTCAAGGCTCGTTTAGTCCATTTTTCTCTACAAAGTGAAGATCAAATTAAGAGTCTTGCACCCACCTGAGAAGGACCAGACTATGAGTCACCAGAGAGCGACCTCCTTTTCTGACCAAGGGACCAGTCGAGTTTATCAGGCAGACCGCCTGATGTCCAGTTTGCATGGAGAGACTGTCTGGAGAACGAACTCCAGAAATGATCTTCCACCGCTGACTTCACCTCCTGGTACCCACAAGGCAGAACAAAAGCGTAAAGGTGAACATTTGTACTGGTGACACACAGGTGCTCMGACGTAAATTTGATTTTTATCTTTGTATGAGATTTGGTAAACTAAACATTTTTCTCGATCTAATTTTAACTTAGGAGTCCCTAGTTAAAACCACAGCTAAAAGCAGCTTACCTCACCTCACTCCAAGCCTCATAACTCACCTCTCAGTGAATATTTTATGTTTATTTGTTGTTTGTTTGTATATTTTGTCATTACTCACTCTTGATTGCAAACTCTTTCTGTTTCTACATGGTTCATTTATGTCATCACTCATTACTCGCCATAGTTGTAAAAACATTTAATCTGTAAATAAATGGCCCGTGGAGAACGTGCCAACATAAGCTAATCTCATTTTTGTGTCTTGATAAAGTATTACTGGTTATGATAAGACAAGATCTCATCAAATAATTTTGGGTAAATTTATTCTGAGACTGATTACATTAAAGTTACAGTTTTTCATTTCTTTCCTGGGTCAACACTTGATCGAATTAAGGAAAGTGGTGCCTCGAGGTGAGCTAATTTGCGAAACACAAATTAGCTATTTTAGAGTATACCCAAAACCCCCACAAGCTGAAAGTAATCTTTAAACACACACGAGAGTCCACACAGGGACAAACCATTTCCTTGTGATCTTTGGGGACAAAGATTTAGCCATAAGTCATGCTTAAACAGACACATGAGAGTCCACACAGGAGACAAACCATTTCCTTGTGATGTTTGTGGACNCACATTTAAACTCACACATGAGAGTTCACACAGGAGACAAACCATTTCCTTGTGATGTTTGTGGACAAATATTTAACCAAAAGGCACATCTAATCACACACAGGAGAGTTCACACAGGAGACAAACCATTTTCTTGTGGTGTTTGTGGACAAATATTTAGAGTAAAGTCATCTTTAAACACACACATGAGAGTTCACACAGGATAGAAACAATTTCCTTGTGATCTTTGTGGACATAGATTTATCCAAAAGTCATTTTTAAACAGACACTTGAGAGTCCACCCAGGAGACAAACCATTTCCTTGTTATGTTTGTGGACAAAGATTTAACCAAAAGACATATTTAAACACACACATGAGAGTCCACACAGAAGACAAAACATTTACGTGTGATCTTTGTGGACAAAGATTTAGCCGAAAGTAATCTTTAAACACACACGAGAGTCCACACACGAGACAAAAAAATTCCTTGTGATGTTTGTGGACAAAGATTAAGCCATAAGTCATCTTAAAACAGACACATGAGAGTCCACATATCAGGATTGGGGGAGGAACAGACCCAGGGCGCTGGCAGGTTTCAAAAAGGAACAAAAAGTTTTATTTAAACAACAAAAAGAGGGCTGATGGCAGCAAACTTACAAATTCACAGAGGGAACGCTCAGGCAGAGGAACAAGGTACAGAGCAGGAGACTCACAGAAACANGACAGAGGGGACGAAGAGGCGAAGGCAGCCGACCCAGGTGACATGGAGGTGACAGCAGCTGACCCAGGCGACATGGAGTCGATGGCAGCCGACCCAGGCGACATGGAGGCGACGGCAGCCGACCCAGGCGACATGGAGGCGACGGCAGCCAACCCAGGCGACATGGAGGCGACGGCAGCCGACCCAGGCGACATGGAGGCGACGGCAGCCGACCCAGGCGACATGGAGGCGACTGGCAATGATCCAGGTGACATGGAGGCGACGGGCAATGATCCAGGTGACATGGAGGCGACGGGCGATGTGGAGGCAACAGCAACCGACCCAGATGATATGGAGGGGGTGGCAGCCGACCCACGAGCCTTGAGGATCGCCGACCCAGGAGTCATCATTGGGACCACCGACTCCAAGACCACTGACTGTGGAATCGCCATTGGGACCACCGACTCCAAGACCACCGATTGTGGAGCCACCGACTCTGGAACCACAGACTCCTGGACCACCGGGACCACCAACTCCGGGACCACCAACTCAGGAACAGACTCTGGGACCACCAACTCAGGAACAGACTCTGGGACCACCAACTCAGGAACAGACTCTGGGACCACCAACCCAGGAACAGACTCTGGGACCACCAACCCAGGAACAGACTCTGGGACCACCAACCCAGGAACAGACTCTGGGACAACCAACCCAGGAACAGACTCTGGGACAACCAACCCAGGAACAGACTCTGGAGGCCCAGTAGACTCTGGAGGCCCAGTAGACTTTGGAGGCCCAGTAGACTCTGGAGGCCCAACAGACTCTGGAGGCCCAACAGACTCTGGAGGCCCAGCAGACTCAGAAGGCCCAGCAGACTCAGAAGGGGTGGGAG